GCATCATTTAGGCTGCATTTTAGAGTCCAAATCATGTGTTTTCTCGGTCATTTTAGGTTTTTAGGCATCAAAGTAGGCTTTAAGATTTGCATTAGGTCCCAAAGAGTTTTGCATAGTTTGAAGCCTCTATCAGGTGTTTTGGAGGACATTTGGAGCTCAAGAGGAGGATCAGAAGTGGAAACGGTGAAGAAAAGGGTCAAAAATGGTGAAAACTGCTTGGAGGAATTTCTCGGCGAAAACTCGTACCGGCTGGATCAGAACATCGGCAAGAATCGCTATCAGGTGGTCCGTACCGGCTAAAACTCATTACCGGGTGAAAATTCCATCGGGTGAAATTTTATGCCGAGGCGAGGAGTTTTTATCGGCTAAAAAGCTTACCGTGGTACATGTTTCTCGGACATTTTCCTTACCGCGGGAAGCATTTATCGGCTAAAATCTATTTTCACCCGCGCGCCTCAAAGATCACAAATCCGGGGAATCTTCCAGTTCGAATCAGTTGACGGGGTCTTCATAAAGGTTGGAGATAATCAATCCAAGATCCCAGAACAGTTGGAATCATGTAATTCGGACCTGTGAGTAGAGAGATATCGCCTCCGGAAGACACGCCTGTCTCGCATGCATCCAAAAGCCGATCAGATGGGTTTCAAAGATTACGTGGGACGATGCCCTTCCAGACCGAATCAGCTTACAGGGCCTTCATCAATATTCAAGATCTATGAATGCTCTGTCCGGAACACCTGAAGTCGCCCAATTCGGCACAGCGGTTTGAAAGATATCGCCTCCGGAGTTGACATTGGTCTAAAAGCTAATTTTTTTGGTCATTTCAATGCGGTGCAAAGATGAGCAATCCGGGAAGCCTTCCACTTTCCAAGCTCCGATAGTTCCTTCACCAAAGTTTTAGCTGAATGAGTTATCTTGACTATGGAACTTGTTTCAAAGCATTTGGAGTCATGTGCTAAAAGTTATTGCTTCCGGAAGACGAGTTGGTCACTACGAGCCCAAAGGAGTTGCGATAAACGCTAAGTGTTTTTACAAACCTTGGCGTTGCTGCCTCAACATTTCTTAGGCCGAGGCTCATCCCCTGAAAGCTTTTTGGACTAGACCTCGTACTAACTCCTCGGTATATCAAGATCGCGGCATGCATGCAAAAGGAGTGGAGCTGAAAATGACTAAGTGTTGAACTTGAACCTCAGTATAAAGACCTCGGCATTGCATGCCGGACTCCATCTTCCCAAACCCCTCCACTACCAAGCACCTCGGCATCACATGCCGAGGTCCCTTGTCATGAAACCAGATTCAAGAACAAGTTCACTCGGAGGACGCACGTGAAGATGGATTGAAGACTAGGGTTTATGCATGTTCTTGGCGTGTTCTTCAAGAGATCTCCATCTTGATCTTTGCTCACGTGCACCCCTCGGCATCAAGACCTCGGCTTCACTATCTCACACACCGTGGTGCTCATCCGACGACCCAAGAAGAGCGTTCAGTACCCGGTTTGTTCCGGGCTGACCCGCAACACTTACCCTTCACTATAAATAGATATTAGGACCAGAAACCTAATCTTCTTTTATCTTATCTCATTTCCTGCCTGTTTTAGCTTTAAGACTTGCCTCTTTTGTGAAACTTGATTAATCTAATCCGATATCTCGTTTTCACGTGAGAATCTTGTTCTTGTTTATTTCTTTTATTTACCAGCATCAAACTCCTTATCATGACTAGCTACACGTCTTGCAAAGGACTTAGTGAGCTCGTTATGATCAGTGAGTAGTCCATTTAAGAGGCTTTAGATAGGTAGATTAGGGTGCTTTCATGAAAGATTAGCGAGTTTAGGGGTCAAGTCTTGCATGTTTCATTCTTTAACCGACGAGATCTCTTAGCTGGATCCAAGCACATCACTTGTGGTTCAGATCTGAGACATATCTCGCATCAAAAGTGTTCGTAGAAATGTCTGAACCAATCAGTTAGAAGTTTAAGAGTCTTTCATCGCGAGAGTGATAGTTTGACCTTCTTAAATGACTTATTGAACTGGATCTTAAAGCTGACTGATTCATGCTTCTCAAAAGAGATTTTGGTATGAAAGAGGATCAGTTTAGATGTTTAATACTTTCATGAGAAGATTATCATATTTTGAGTTCATGTTAAATGAAATTGCTTGATAATATTGATTTATTAACTTTCTAGTCTAGCTTGGAAGCACCCGAGTCTTTGATCCTGTCTAAAGCTTCTGCCTTTATTATATATTATCATCATCCGATCATTTGCTTGTTTATTTGTTGTCATTTGCATCTTCATCTAGTCTAAATATCATTGCTTGTTCCATTTTCGTGTTTACTTGTTCGTTAAGTAGATTAGTCACCAAAAACTCTTGTTTGATCATCTTGACTTAAGATTACAGGTAACATAGATTAGTGTCTCTCCACAAGCTTGGTTTGATAACCCCTTATACTACAAGACAGAAGATTGATAACCTCTACAAAGAGCCTAAAAACTCTTAGTTATCACTGTTTAGCTATAAGGGTTAAATTAAAGCCTTGTAAGTCTCTAAATCTAAGACCCAGATACATACCCATGCCGCCCTCCGATGATATTCCGATGGCATTCTTGATACATTGCTTTAAATACGGGTCTACTCTATTCCCGAACATGATGGATGATTGGCCTAGGTTAAGTTGTTGTCCCGAGACCGATCCATATGTATTGATGATCCTGAAAATTTCGGCTCCCTGCTGAATATCCGCTCTAGAAAAGAACATGTTATCATTGGCTAAAAAAAGGTGTGAAACTGGTGGACTCGTTTGAGCTACTTTCAGCCCTGAAATACGTTTTTCCTCCTCTGCTCCATTGAGTAGTGAGATATGAGCATCAGTACACAGAATAAAGAGAAATGGAGAGAGAGGATCTCCTTGCCGCAATCCTCTCAATGGAATGATTTTTTCTTTCGGTTCTCCATTTATAAGAACTTGGTATGAGACCGAGGAAATGCAAAACATCAAAAGTCTGACCCATCTCTCAGAGAATCCTAGCTTGATCATAATGGCTTCAATAAAAACTACACTCTGCCCGATCATAAGCTTTACTCATTTCTGTCTTGATGGCCATGAAATTCTCTCTACAAAGGGTGTTGGTCCGGAGGGCATGAAAGTTCTATTGTGCCAACAGAATGTTGTCTGTAATAAAACGCTAGCCACGAAGGCCGATTGAGTTTCCGAAATTAGGTTTGGTAATGTCCTCTTTAGTCTCTTAAACATAAGCTTAGAGATAATCTTATAGCTTACATTGTAAAGACTAATCGGACGGAATTCTGTCATTGCCCTTGGCTTCTCTTTTTTGGGGATACGACATATGTTAGTCTGATTAAGTCAAGGATTAAAAGATCCCGATATGAAAAAAATCTTTCACCTATTAAACTATGTCATGGCTGAAATCTTGCCAGAATATTTGATAAAATTTACTCGTCATCCCGTCTGGTCTGGGGGCTTTGTCAGGGTTAGTATCAAAGAGAGCTTCCCTAATCTCTGCTTCCGAAGATTCCAATAGCAGGATCTAATTAGAGGTATCAGTAACTTTCTCGATAATATACCGGAGTATATTTTCTGGGTCTGTAGGCTGTGATGAGGTGAACAGGTCTTGGAAATATTGGGACGCCACACGTTCAATACCTTTCGCATTCTCCACCCATTTCCCATTACTATCTTTTAAAGAAATGATACGGTTCCGACTTCTCCTTTGTTTAGTAAGAACATGAAAGAATTTTGTGTTCTTGTCGCCCTCCTTGTGCCATCGCTCACGACTCTTCTGTTGCCAATATATTTCTTCCTCGCGAAACGGTGAACATAGTTTTCTCTTGATCACTTCTATTTCTTTTGTCGTTGTGTTCTCATCATCTTGTGCTGCATCTAGTTGATTTTTGAATTCCTCGATCACATTTTCCGAATTTGATAAAAGAGATTTATTCCAAATGGAGATACTCTTTCTACAGTCAGCTATTTTTTGGTGGAAATCTCGACGTTAGATTCCATCAAAAGAGCCCCAGCCAGAGACTACCGCCTCTTTGAACCCTGGCTTCCCCATACATCTTTTGTCAAACCTAAATGATTTTTTCTTCTTTTTGTTATCCACTCGTATCATAGCTAAAACCGGTCAGTGGTCCAAACCCCATAATTTCAGGTACTCCACTGAAGTGTGGGAAAATATGGATTGTCCTTCTTCATTCCCAAGAGCTCTATCTATGCGGCACTTAACTTTACCCGAACACATTTTTCCAACACATGAGAATGAGTTTCTCTTATACGGGAACTCTAGCATACCACAATTATCTAACATAGTTCGAAAGGGTATCAATGAAAATTTTGATCTCCTTCTCCCTCCCTGTTTTTCATGGTTTTTCGTAGTATCATTGAAGTCCTCTATCATAAACCAGGAATCTTTTCTTGAGAGGCTCATCCGAGTGAAACGCTCCTAGACACGTTCTCGGTTTTTTACAACTGGATCTCCGTAGACGAAACTCATAAAGATTTTGTGTTCGTGAGTAGTTTCTACATCAATCAAATGCTCATCTGAATAAATAATAAAAACTGTAGGTTCATCCAAATAAAAAGACTAAACCGTCGCTTCGACCTCTCGGTTCAACGGTACAAACATGGTCAAGGCGAAAATACACTTGCATATCTTGAAGAAAAGAGCGATTGTTTTTAGTTTTCGATAAAAATTAAAAACGAGAAAAAAAACAATAATGAAGTTCTTCTAAATGTTTTTTTGTCAAGTCAGCTCCCGCCCCTTGACAATTCCATCCAATGATGTTCATTTCTGGCGGTTAGCTGGTTTCTGGGCACTTCCCTAACCAGAAGTTGAAGAAATTTTGTGTTTTTGGGCCTTTGACTGTTTCTCCTCCTTGGGGTTTGAAGCCTTTTCTTCGTACAGCCCAGGCCCAGGCCCAGATCCCGATTCCAGCACTCTTCCCTTTTCCTTTTGGCTTTTGGCGATGAACGACCTTTGACGAAACTTCTCTTCTTCAGGGAAATCCCCATGGCCGCCGGAGATCAAGGCACCTGTTTCTTCTTCGCCGGAGTCTTCCCTCCTTTTCCAGCTTCAGTGGAAATCTCGGTATCAATATTTTCATCAGAGATTACATCTTCTTCCATGGGAATCGCATGCCCAGAGTCAACATTCTGCAATTCTTCCTGCACAAAATCCTCTCCCAGCAGATCATCATCCTTGAGCAATTAAAACTTCTAATTCTCCATCCTCATAGAGCTCAGGGTTGTTAAGCCACTCATCTTCCTCAGCAATACCATCAATTGTCTCTTTTGTTCCCATAGTCTCGGTCTCGACCATCTCATCCTCTTCCATATATTCTTCTGCAGCAATTTTCAAAATTTATATGAACCCAGAATCCACAGCATCTCTCCCATCAGCTTCTTCCTCAATCAATAGTATTGGGTCATGATCTTCAACCATTAGATCCACGGTTTCCTCAGGATTTTCTCCTTCTTCCTCTTCTTCAAGTGTTTGTTCATACCAGCTTTTGGTACTTAGCGGCTTTGAAGGTATGGATTTCTCAATCTGGCCCTGGCTTTGTGGATTCTGATTGTTGATCTTTGCAGGTTCAAAGTTTAGGGTCTTCTTCACGGAGCTTCCTGCCTCTAAAGACTTCCCTATCTCCATATCATTCTTCTTATCCATCATATCGTTCTTGCTAAGTAGGGTAAGGCGGAAAGGGTGGCTTCTCTGGTGCTCGGGTGAGATATTCTCAAAAAGGATTGTTGCAGCATCACGACGAGGTTGGTCAGAGATAGTCCGTTGAGAGTCAGACGAGATCTTAGCGGATTGGAGGAGTTTCGCAGGGGGGGTTGTTTATCAGAACGGGAGTCTCTTTTCGGTATGACCTCCTTCTCCTTATTTTTCTCCGTTTTTCTTTTGCTAGCAGCGAAAGATTCTTTGTACCGACGCTTACTGTAGACATTTTCAGGGTGGTGTGACTGTATCCTTTGTCGTGGATGGTTTTCATCATCCAGATGAGCGTGTTGTTCATACCAGCGAGCTTCTGAGCGGTAATCTTTATTCTGCTCAATTCTATTCTAGACGCTGTCAGATCTTCTATCTTCCGAGAATCTGTTTTCATTTTTTTCTCTATAAGGGTCACCTTTTCCCTCTTTTATTTGATTCAGGTTTTGTCTATTTTCATCCTGGAATGTAGTGAAAGTCTTCCATTCACGAACAGGGGCTGAAATCTGGCCTGCTTGTCTCTGAAGATGGATGATATCTCGATCCATGTTTTGATAATCTCTTGCTGCTTGAGCTAAAGCCCTCTCAGCTTCTCTTTCTAGCATCTTAGCTCTTCGCTGGTCTTCAGTTAACAGGGGACAGGTCCTCTCGTCATGAGAAATGTGCCAGCAGGTAAGGCACCAGCGATCTAATTTCTCGTACTTCAGCTCAACCTTTACCACTTCTCCCGATTGTAAGAGAGCTCTTGCTGTGAATTTTAGGGGTTCATCTGCGTTTAGAGAAACCTGGACTCTAGCAGCTCTAGCATTGATAGCTTTAACATCCCACAGAACTCTTCTAATAGTTCGGAATTTTTCCTCCATCCAGAAATGAGTTGGAATACCTGAGACTCTTATACAGAAGATCATCTTACTTGGGAAAGACTCTCTTATCCAGAATCCATCTTTCCAACGAGAAAGACCGTTTGTTGAAATGGCAGGGTCTCTTGTTTAAGACCTTCTGGAGATCTGCTTCAGAATCAAAATCAAACTGAAATCGAGAGTTGTCCAGATCGATACCATGAACCCTTCCTTCAACATCCCAAATGTTCGGTCTTGGCATGAAGGCGATAAAGGCTTCAGTGCTTCTTATGTTCTGGTTGAACATGCGAGCCACAAGGCTCCTACTGAACCTGGCAATGAGTTGGGAGTTATCAACATGAGGTAGATCTATGGTGTCATCTTCCTCTTCCTCGTGGGAGTTGATGGTAAAGTTTTTGTTAGTATTTTCCATCTTCGAAGTTCAGGAACTGAGAAGAGCAAGTAGGAGGCTGGAACTTATCAAAAAGCTAGAATTTTGAGAAGTCATGGTCGAAAAGAAAGGCGCCGATGCACTTTCCAAAAAGGAAGAGGTTTTTAAACTTCAGTCTTCAGTCTTGCTTGGAGGAAAGCTTCAATCTTTGCAAGAGTAGCAGAGTTTTTGCTTTTGGACGTGGTGAATTCATTTTTTCCTCGTTTGAAGTAAATAAGTAAAAATAGAAAAGTTTATATTATGATAATCACGATCTATATTAACAATGATTTATATCACGATCTAATGAGTTATAATTATCATATGTATCACGTTCATGTTGAGCGTGTACACCTTTATATAATAAGATAATATTTGGCAAAAAAGCTTTCACATATATATATGTATATATATAATTTTGGTCAACAAATAAACAAGAGAAATACCTACAAAATCAAAGATTCACAATTTTCAACCAAAATGTTACTGACTATTGGATAATAAAATAAACTTTCAACTTTTGTAACTAATCTCTTTAATCTCTGACTTTGTTTTGACCAAGTTTTTTTAACTACTGGATGAAGTGGGCTATTGCTTAAGTGTAGGAGTTGATCTCATGTGCTCTTGCTTAAGTGTAGGAGTTGATCTCATGTGCTCTTAGTTCGATTTCTGGTAGGAAGGATATTTTACGCTATGCCATCAGGTATTAGCAAAGACTGTTCCCGGGCTTCAGGGGGGATTACGGCCCAGGCCCAAAACCCCCTCCTAATTTAAAAAAAAAATTGTTTTAGACCAACATTAAAATATAATTTTATACTAAAAACCGACTGGTTAAGTTTTTGTTATTGTTGACTTGATTGCAAAGCTGGCATATCAAGGGGAAATCGTATACAAATGAGTTTGAATTGATTATGTTCATGTTTTATGACATAGATTGTCTGCGCTACGCGCAGATTTGTTTAATTTTTGCTTTATAAATTAATATTTATGTTTTTTTTTTCATTAAATATTTATTGTTTGATAGATACCAAGTTTATTTTTTCATAGTGTTGTATAGATATAATGCTTTGGTTGGATTACTTTTCTGTTATTGGTTAACAATATTTTATTTATATAAGTTTGTTTTGGTACAACTTATAAATTGTTCATTTTGATAGTATAAATTTGTAGAATTTGACCAATATTTTAAAATGAAAATTTTGGGAAAGTTATATGAAATTATTAAAATTTTTAATTTATGTTGATAATCTGTGTAATCTTTGCATTTCTTCTAGACTAAAATATAAAAAATGTGCATATAAAAAATCCTAAACCCCAATTATGTTCTCTTAATTTTGCATTTTAAAAAACTTAATTTCTATTTAAAACATATACTTCCTAATTTTTTCTACTATGTTTCTTTATTTCTTATCTCAAAATTATAGTATAATTATGTAATTATAAAAACATTTAATATTTTTTATTTTGCTATTTCTTCACCCAGTAAATTTTTTTTGGATCCACCTCTGATTCGTGAGCGGATAATAGTAAGATGGATGGTTTGATGTAGGTTCGTGTTAGAGGGTCTGAGTTTGATATGAGAAGGACCGTTATTTGTTGGTTGTTTGTCATTTTGTTTATATTGATTGTATTGTTTGTTATATGTTAGATTTGGTGAGTTAACTTCAACTTCAATAGGTTTGAGTTTTTAATCGTGATGAAAAGTTGGTTAAATTTTTCTTAGTTTCTAATTAGAGGGCTTGTATTGTGTCTTCATTGAAGTTCGGATTGATGTCCATTTTTTTGGTAATTGTTCTTAGTGTAATTTGAAACGGGGTAATTAGTTTACCGTAGATGGCTCTTTTATTAAACGACATCACTTGTTTATATCTTTTTTTTTGCTGTACTCCATTCTCGTCTATTTTTTTTTACTTCCCTTTCCCAGAGAACTTTCTTCTCCTTCTTATTCTTCTCCTTTCCTACTTCTGTAAGGAATCTTTGGACTGATTTCTAATTTGATTGTTTTTTCTATTTGACGAATTGGCAAAGTTCTTGAACTTGTAAGTTTAAATAATGTATTCCTTTTAGGTCGTCGCGCGAAAATTGTTCTCTATTTTGTTTGGACTTTAACACACCCATACTATATGTCTCTGTATTATTTTTTATTTGAGTTTTCTATATTTTGATTTTTGAAGTGTATATAATATGTCTTCTTGTTAGTCTCTTTCTTATTTCATAGTTACTTTTCTTATCCGGCGAAACCTAGTGCTTTCAGTGACTCCTATTCCTAGTGCAGGGGTTGGTCTCATGTGGTCCGCTACGTCCCCAAGTATTAGCAAAGACTGTTCCCGGGCTTCGGGGGATGACGGCGGCCCAGGCCCAAACCCTTCCTAATTTTTTTTTTTTTTAAAAATTGTTTTAGACCAACATTAAAAATATGATTTTACACTGAAAACCGATTGGTTAAGTTTTTGTTGTTGTTGAGTTGGTTGCAAAGCTGGCATATCAAGGGAAACCGTACACAAATGAGTTTGAATTGATTATGTTCATGTTTTATGACATATTCAATATCCAATGGATTAGACTAACATAGTATCAAATCTTTATATCATTTGGCACAAAAAAACTCCCATATATATTATTTGGCAAAAAAAAAAAAAAAAATATATATATATATATATATATATTGTTTTGGTCAACAAATAACCTAATATTTAACTTTCGAATCAATTATAAAAAGGAGGGAGAAGTTCTGATTTTTTAAAGTTCATCAGTATACATTAGATATAAAGATTTGATACTATATAATCAAATGAAATCCATTGAATATGTCACAAATGAAGTTGTTCATGTACATTTAGCTTGATATGGACCATGAATTGGTTGAAGAGGAAAAATAGCAAATGGCCATGTTTTGTGACATATTCAATGGATTTTCTTTGATTTATATAGTATCAAATCTTTATGTCACAAAAATGCCCATATGCAAGATTTCCTCTTCAACCAGTCAGGTTCATATCCGGCTAATGTACATGATCAAGTTTTTTGGTGATTATTACAAGTAATCATTTAAGTCGT